AAAAGGCCCCTGACACAGCACAAAAGGGGGGGTTGGGGGGGGGGGGGGGCGGTGTGTTAATGGGCAGATCAGAAGAAAAGAGCTTATATAGGAGACATCACTTGATTGTGCCCTGACGCCTCAGGCTTGGGTATATTTTAACAACATAGCCGTTTTGAAATAACGGTGCATTGGTTTTTTTTAAAAAACCACAGCCTTATTACTATTTAATTCTATTGTTTATGTGTGCCTGCCAAAGAACAGTCAGTGCATTTTATAAAGAAATATTTGCTCCAGAGTGCATAAACAAATGGCCTTTCTTTGTTTTACTTTCGAAACCGACAACCACTATGACCGATTTCTAAAAGAAACAGGGAAGGGAAGAGAGAAACTGCCGTCGTACATATCTCTGTTCCTTCGGGCCTCTTCCTGCTCTTTATGATGTCGCCTTCTTTGCCGGGCAGACACATTTGACGACGTCGATGAGGTCCCCGATTCAGAGTCCTCGGAACTTTGTCCTCCAGATCCATGAACGTCAAAAAGATGTTGCTCGACTGCCGACCGGATGGTTTTTTCTAAATACCTGCCGAGCCAAATAGAAACAAAAACCTCTGCAGCAGGGGTCCTGAAATGTTTTGAACCTGCGGGGACCTTTGGAAATCTGACACAGTGTGGTGGGCCCAGCAACAAAATGGCTGCTGCCGGAGGTGAAGCCAGCTACTAAACGGCTGCTGCAGCTTACCTTCAATTGCACAATTACGTTTCTTGTGCTGTGGTGTGGTGGCAGCTGCTGCCAAAGCAGAGTCTGTAAAAATCTGCACAGCCAATCAAATCTCCATTGGCCAATCAGAAGCCCTGCTGGGCAAAAGTCCCACCTGGTCCCGCCCACTTTCTAAAAACACTTGTTTGGCACCAGAAAAGGTGCTGACAAACACTATGGCGCCTATGGGCAGCACGCTGGGGGATCCTTGCTCTACAGTCAACCTTGCCTTTTAGCTAAGAGTAAAAAAGCTCTCTGAATGGATCATGCCACTGAAACAAAATGAGTCAAAAGATGGCTTACAAAATACAGGAAGATGCCCACCCAAAAAGCCCCGTTGCCAATCTAAAAAAGTCAACCTACATATTCTCCATGACCTCATTTTTGAGCTGGCGACTTTGGTCTGCCAAATCAACCAAGTAAACAGATTAAGGAAAAAAATAGGGTGAGTAATTAAAAAGAAAAAGAGGGCATGCAAGTAAATCAGCCACTCACTCTCCGGAAGCAGGGACGCTGTTGTTGTTGACCTGGGACACGTGAGCGCTGCAAAGAGAAAAAAGAAAAAGGGATGGGAAGTGAGATCCAAGCATCAAAGATTTCTACAGAAAATCTGCCAAAGAGAAGTTCAGTTAACGCTGCACAATCTATTGAGTGACGAAAAGGTTTCACTTTAGAGGCAGGTTGTCACTCCTCCAAAACAAAGCATCACGTGTACCTTACATTTTGCAGTGGGTCACGCTCGCAGTAAAATTATCACTTGATTGCTGGCAACTGTCAGATGAATACGTGAAGTGATGCTGCTGAAAAGTACTAGGTTTGAATTCTACGGAAGCCCATTTGCCTCAGCAAGCCATCACTTGGTGTTTCCGTAACCAAGCGACAAACAAGCGTGTTTCTATCGGTCTTAGACTGTGAGCCATTTGAAGGTGCCAATTCGCCTAGCGTTTCTGGTGACACTGCTGTGCCCCAACCTAAGCCCAGGAGATATGGCAGGTTTTAACCCTACTAAAAGAAATTTCCAGCCCTTTGCACAATTTACATACTCCTAGCTTTAAAATGCACTATTAAACAACATCACACACATGACGAAATGGAGTGGCTTTATTAAAAAAGAGCACACACACACCCCAACTGAAATTGATTAACCCCATTTTACCAGGATATCCGGCCTGGATAGCCCAGGCTAGCCTGATCGTGTCAGATATCGGAAGCTACGCAGGTTCGGCCCTGGGTAGTATTTGGATGGGAGACCACCAAGGAATACCAGAGTCGCGATGCAGAGGCAGGCAATGGCAAACTACCACTGAATGTCTCTTGCCTTGGAAAACCCCACAGGGTTGCCGTAAGTCAGCTGAGACTCATGGTACTTTCTACCACCATTTTTCCTGGAAGAACATGTTTGCTTCCCCTTCTTTGTATCTCTCCCTGTAACACTGTACAGCGTGAAAGGGGGGGGGGGAGTGTGTTTCTGTATCTATAAACATTGAGGGAGAAACACACTCCCAACTGTGTGTTTTTGCATACAATTCATTACTTCATTAATGTGTGTGTGTGTGTGGATGAGAGAGAGAGAATTGATTTTCAAAGAAAAGCACGAATAAGATGTGCAAACTGCATTCTGCAGGGGCAGTCTACCACTGAAAACCATATGCCAGGACAGCTGTTGCTTTCATGCCTGACTTGCAAGCCTCCCCAGAGGCATCCGGCTGGCTACTTAGAAAGCTTCCTCCAAGGAGCTCAGAGCGGCCTGACTGGTTCTCTACTCTGTGGGGTAGATCAGGTAGAGTGTGTCTGACCCAAGATCATCCAGTGACTTTTATTGCAGTGTGGCGATACGGGGATGGGGGAATCAGTCCCGATCCTAGCGTGACACCGCACTCACCAGTACGCTACATTGGCTCCCAGCTAGATGTAACCTTAGTTTGATTGCTGAGCAATCTTATATTCTTAACACGCAATCCAAGCACTAGATACAGGCTGCTTGCCCCTTGTTGCCCTGTCCTGATACGTACAAAAGACACGTAAACATGTGAACACACGTGAAGTTTGCCTTATACTGAACTGGTCCATCAAGGTCAGTAATGTCTACTCAGACCGGCAGCGGCTCTCCAGGGTCTCCGGCTGAGGTCTTCCCTACCACCCACCACCTGGTCCTTTTAGAGATGCCTGGGATTGAACCTGGGACCTTCCGCACGCCAAGCTGATGCTCTACCACTGAGCCACTGCTCTTCCCCACTGCTCTTCACATGCTCAGTTAGTACACATGATGTTGCACATGCAAATGGACACACATTTTCCTACACGGAAATTATTATGTGTGTGTATGTGGGGGGGGGGGGAATCTTCATATATGAAGAAGTGTGTATCTCCCCATCTTCTGCCCAATGCCACAAACTCCAAACTCAAGAAGCGCTGAAACATCCTCAGTTGTCACACCATCCCTTATTAATTGTATATTTATAAGACGTCGTCATCCCCTCTGAGCCGGTTTCGGGGAGAGCGGGCTAGAAATGGAACAAAATAAAATAAAAACTAAATTCCCCGCCACCTTCCTGGTGAGCAAATGTGCCGTGATACCCACTGCTTCCAGACTGATGCTCCAAACGGTATGGCTAGATTAGACTGAGACCTCTGTACCTCCTCTCTCCTCCACCACCGCTCTGGAGAGAAGAGGTCCCATGTGACATTTCACTCAAGCTCACCCTGACTACGGCGTTCATTAAAGCAAGTCGTTATGAGCTTAAACCATTTCATTTGCCTTGATCTTCTTATCTGAAAGAGATTGAGTTAGCCCAGATGGCCTGGGGATGCTTGTATGTAAATCTACACACCAGGCTTACATGACAGGAGGTCCACAGTGGAAGCCGCACTATGGAATGCGCGGCTATGCATGCTGCCCCGGCGGACACTAATTGAACAACGGATTGCTGCTGTATTCCTTTAATCTTGAATTTTTATCGTTTCCCTCTTCTGCATACTTCCACCCATCCATTCCTCGGCAAGGAACGGAAAGATGGCTGTGATCCACCTGATGTTGGGCGAAAGAACTTAGTGGCTCACAACTGCACCTTTAAAAAAAATTAGTGCAGCCAATGGAACTGACTAAAAATAAACCTTGGCCGCTCATCCTCACGGTTCATTTAGTTATTGGATTTTTATCTCAGCCTATCTGTACACTCTCAGGATGGGGAGGGAAGCTTTGCAGTTTGTTTGCTTGTTTGTTTTATTAACGGCAACCTTTAAAAAGCCCATATTTTAAAAATATAGTACTAAATTAGCCCCAGCTTGTCATTCACTTGTCCTGACCTGGATGGCCCAAGCTAGCCTCATCATCTTGGAAGCTAAGCAGGATCAGCTCTGGTTAATATTTGGATGGGAGACCACCAAGGAAGTCCGGGGTTGCTATGCAGAGGCAGGCCATGGCCAAACTACCTCTGAAAGTCTCTTGCCTTGAAAATCTCATGAAGAGTCACTCTGTCAGCCCTTTCCACCACCAATCATTCGCTTAACGACTGCGCAAATAGATAGGACTTCCATCACCTTCAGAAGAGGGAAGGGCTCTTTCATGTCTTACATTCTTCCTACAGGAATGTGCACGGCTGCAAGAGGGTGGGGAAGTATATCCATGTACAGTGACAAGTATACACCTCCATAAATCTTTAAGCTGTCTTTTTTAATTATGTGAGAATGCCATGCATCGTGGCCTAGGTGGTACAATGTGCACAAATGCAAGTTTCACACATGCCCTTCCTAACATGGGCCCAGACTCTGGGACCACGGCCAGCAACAAACCAAGATGCCAGCTCTGTCCCCATTTTCGTCCAGACAGCATTATCACTGGACCTAACATCACCAGCCATATAATCTCAGGTTTATTCACCTGTTCATCTTCCAATGTTATATATGCTATCAAATGTCTGCTTTCTACATCAGATAAACAGGCCAGGCCATATGCAAAAGCATAAATGGACATAAATCCAACGTGACAAACCACAACACTCAAAAACCAGGAAGGAACATTTTGATCTTCCAAGTCATTCTATTGCTAACTCAAGAGTGGCAGTCCTCAAACGGAGAAGCTTCAAGGGGAGATTACAATGTGAGATTGCTGAACCTGAGTTCATACACAAGTTCAGAACAATGGATCCCCCCAGGGCTGAATAGGCAAATAGGATTCTTATCTCGGTGCAGATCCTAATTTTCTTCCCCGCGAGCATTTCCCCTCTGCTCTGATCAAGCTAATTACTGCACACATTGTACCTCTGCATTCCGTGTTCCTTCTCTGCAACACCCCTCCCCACCTTCTGACTGGGATAGAAGGACTCAGAAATCTCCATTCCAACTTGTACCTGACGAAGGGAGCTTTGACTCTTGAACGCTGATACCCAAAAAAATCTTGTTGGTCTCTAAGGCGCTCCTGGACTCCAATCTAGCTGTTATTATTTAAAACACTTATTAGCTGCCTTTCTTCCTTGCGGAACTCAAGGCGGCTTATAATATAAACACATTATCAATATAAAATACAAGAAATGTTAAAACGTTAGTGCAACAGTGGCTGGCTGAAAAGTTGGCAAGCTATTGAGTTTGCCACATTCACATTCCCTTTTTAGGTATACGCCCCTGACATTTCTGAGGGCCTAACTGCATGGGTCATTTCCCCTGGGGACATCCACAGGTCAGTTCAACAGACGCGTTCTGGAGTGCCACACTTTCCCAGGTTTTATTACAGCTTCTAGGTGTCAGATTCTGGAACGGTCCCCATGCCAAGTTTTACTAATGACTCAGCATACTTGGGATCTAGGCAAGCCACTACGAAGCCCTTTGGTAGGCCTCATTTTCCTTTCTGTGTTTCATACTATGTATTCTGAATAAAGTTCTGCACTGTTTACCTAAGAAGACCCCTCAGCATGAGCTGCAGCATTTTACAGTGCTCTGCCTTCTTGCTGTTACAGTTGAATGTGGGTAATCTTCCAGTCTTAGGTAAAGTGGTTGGTTTTCATAGTCTCTAGGTAGGGTTGCCAGGTCCTCCCTGGCCATCGGCGGAGGATGGGGGGGGGGTAGGGTGGCCAGACCCAGACTGTGGATTTGGGGGCGGAGCCTGGGGAAGGTAGGGACCTCAGTGGGGTACAACGCCATAGAGTCCGCCCTCCAAAGCATCCATTTTCTCCAGGGAAATTGATCTCTGCAGTCTGGAGATGAGCTGTAATTCTGGGGGGGGGGATGTCCAAATCCCACCTGGAGGCTGGCCACCCTGTGACACTAGATCACTAGAAAAACAATCAGGCAGGGACACAGAGATTCAGTGGGTGGCCTTGGGCCAGCCACATGCAAGTCTAACCCACCTCACACAGTGTTGCTGCGAGGATAAAATAGAGAGGGAAGAACCCTGAACACCAATCTGACCTCCTCAGAGGAATGGTGGGATAAAAATATAACCCCGAATGGCTGTGAGGCGGCGTAATGGATTGAGAAAAGGGCCTGCCGTAAGGCCAAGAGGGAATAACAGAACGACAGCTCTTCAAGCACCACTCTTACACAAAACA